TATCAGTAGAGAGAGTGTCAGTGGCTACACCTGTAATCTAGCTGCCTACGAGGCTGAGATCCAAAGGATGGTGGTTCCAGCCTAGTCTGGGAAAAACATTTGAGAGACCCCCACATCTCAACCAATGGCTGGGTGCTGTGGTGCAAAACCTGGTATCAGCTTGGCTGGAAGTATAAAATAAGAGGATCATAGTCCAGGCCAGCCTGGGAAGAAGCAAGACCCTATCTTCAAATAACCAGAGCAAAAAGGGTTAGAGGCATGGCTTAAGCAGAAGATACCTGCTTTGCAAGGGCAAGCCTGAGTTCAAAACCCCGTATGCCAAAAAATGAAAAACAAAACCAAACAACACAGAGGTGGGTTCCAGGAATCAAAAGAACTGCTCCCTGCTATATCAATTTTTATATAATTTTGTGTTCAGTTTCAGGGGGCCCATATATGAGTTAAAACAATCCCCAAATCTCTAATAATTTTTGTTTTTGCTTTTTTGACTTTAATATACATGAGTCACCCTGTTCATGTCTGAATGTTATTGAAAACAGGAATTTTTATCAGCATGCCAGAGTGCTTCTACTTCCAACTACGATACTGCTTTTAACTATTTCTGAACATAAACAGAAGATGAAGTATACTAATCTTTAAATGTTGTAAAACAATGTGATTCAAAATGATGCACATAGAAAGTCGTCACACTGCTTCTCCAAACAAAGCCAGTTATCAAGTCCAGGTGCCTTTCTGTCACTTTAAACATGCATCTTAGATGCCTGGTTAATCTGGTTTCCAGCCTCCAGACAGAAATGGCTGGGAAATTAGTAATAATAAGTGACAGTAATAGATGGAAAAACCTCTTTGAAAGTGAAGGGAACATGGAACTTCAGGGATTTTTAAGTGTTTAGACACATGTTCCTAGCCACCCTGTCAGTTCCAAGACATCAGGTCTTGGAACCAGGTGTAGATACATCACCTGGAAGCTCATCAGAATCTCAGGCCCCACACAGACCCACTGAACTGCGACAAGATCCCGAGGTGAGGGTCTGGGTCAGTAAAGTTTGGGAAGCACAGTATGAATCTCTTACAATAAGACCCTAGTGTATGTGTTTGTGGAGCTGGGGATCAAACCCAGGGCCCAACCATGCCAGGCAAGTGTTCTACCACTGAGGTACATCCCAGTCCACAATAATGATTCTGAACCCGTAAGAAACAGTCATTTAAATTTACTCAAGTTAAATTTGAATTAAACTAGATTGTTAAAGTTGGGGAATCATAATAGTAGTAACTGTCACACACTGAGCACTACTCTGGAACTGCTGGAAGTCATAGGATCATTCACATGAGAGGGAAATCAAACTCCTGCTCGTGATCTGGACCTGCCTACATCACCAACCACAGCTTCTTCTCTTCCCTCTCCTTGTTTTCTACCCTTTCAACAATAGGACACTGAATGTGGAATGCTTTTTGCCCCTATAGTTAGGGATAAATGAAGTATTAAAATAACTACTAATGAAGTCGTCAACTGTAGGATTTTAAAAGAGGATTTCTTGTGAGTTAATCACAGGAATTATTTTTAACCTTCAGAAGTTTTTTAATTTCTCTTTTTTATTGGCATATTATACAAAAGCGTTTCATTACGATATTTTTATACACACATATAGTGTACTTTGGTCAAAGTCACCCCATTACTCTCTTATTCCCTCTTTTGTAAACAATTTCAAGTGGGTTTCATTATTCTATTTTCATATATGCACATGAAGTACTTCAATCATATACACCCCATCTTCAGCTTCAGAAGTTTGAGATTTCTCTTTCTTCCTACTGAGTGTCATAGAACTAAGTGCATATGACAATACATAGCCTGTGAAAGAGGCTAAAATATTTTCAGAGTTTATCCAGAAATTTGTGGGGATTTTCTTGGTAAATGTGAACTTTGTCACATGATCAGTGTTTAAGATTCACTATTGTAAGTCTTCTACCATTAGGCAAACAAAAAAAGTCAGATTGTGATGTTCCCCTATAATACTAGAGATCATGGAGATCCAATGAATAATCTGTCCACAGGAAACCAAGTAAGACTAAAAACTTTGTGCTAGATGGGTGTCCATGCCTGTAGTCCCAACTCTGGAGGCTGAGGTAGGAGGATAACTTGAGCCCAAGAGATCAAGACTAGCCTGGCAACACAGCAAGACCCCACATCAAACAAACAAAAAAATAAACAAAAAACCTGGTACTAAATGAAACCTTTCATTAGTCCAAGAACCTTATACAAAGGTTCTGAGACCCTGAGAAATGAGGTGATTGGCTCAAGATCATGCAACATTTCAGCACCAGGTCCTCTTCTACTTTCCTAGCCACCGGCCATGCAGTCCCCCAGGGATCCATAAAGGTATTAACATCTAGGACCTGAAAATACACAACTGTGTAGATGTGCATCTTTTGGAGGCATCAATAACCTCCATTACATGCCCAAAAGGTCATGCAGTTTTCCCAAATGGTCTGTCATAAACTATTAAAATGCTAGATTTCTATTTAAAGTAATGTGTGGACTTGCTAACTTATTCCAAGAGGCTGATTCTCTCTCCCTCTCCCCCTTTCCTTTCCTTCTTCTAACTTAAATGGCATGATATTCTGAGGTAAAGCCTGAATGAAGCTCAGCATTCACATATATTATGTTGTTTACACTGAAAGGCTTCCAAACATTGTTTTTTTTTCATGAAGTTGGAGATTAGAATACCATATGATAATTATGTTACAAAGACACGTTAAGATTCTCATACTTACCCAAATCATTAGTAAACTCATTGGATTCTTCTCCAAAAATTTTTTTTCCCAAGCCTGGAAACTGAATGATTCAGAGTATGACAAAAAACAAAAACAACAACAAAACCCACATTTTCAATTTTGAACAGATTGACATTTTATATTTCAATTAAGTAGCACAATTAGATCTGAAATTCAGAAATTTCCAATTCTAGAAACCAACTCAAGTATGAAAAAAAATAAAGTCAGCTTGATTCAGTGCTTAGTGTTTTCCTGTTCCTTTGCCCCTCTAGAAAGTTTAAATCATGGTAGAACCATGGTAGAGAGGTTTTAACCATTGCTCTTAAACAGCATCACAGTAGCTTATTCAAGTAAATATTAAATACCTAGATTTATGGCCTGAGACTAAACAGAGATGAGAGGATAACAGTAGATCTTGTTTTTATTTTCAGGTAAATAACAGGTGCAGGTGGTTCTGCACCTGTTAGAAGTACTATTAGCTTTCAAGTCAGGAAGATGATATAGAAAAAAATATTTTATTGGCAAATGATTTATGCTCCAATAAAGAGTGAATAAATGGAGCCAGATGAGAGTCTTATCTCTATGTGATATGGAGTCTTTCAGATTCATTTTGCTTCTGACCCTCAGGGGCAAGGATAATTTTTCTCAAAATATGTACCAAATTATAATATGATGGTCCCAGGGAACAAAAGCAAGGAAGTGCTTCAAATACTTGAACTCAGTTATCTGTAGGTGGCCAAAAGTTTTAATAATGCCACAACCACTTTTTTTTTTTTCTCTTTTACAAGACAGTACAAACCAACAAGGGCTGCAAGTAGTCCATTCATCAATGGCAGAAGTGCAGCTTCCCCAACTGGCTTAAAGAGCTATTTCTGGGATTACATGGCATAGGGGTCATTAAATAAAAATGTTTTGTATGACCTAAATGAAGGTATTTATTTGTTCATATATTCTGGGATTTACTTTCATGAATGAACAATTGCCTGAGAGTATGCTTTGAAGCAAATATTAGCCCATAAAAATTAACATTGATACATATCTAAACAAGTTGCCTAAGCACCCTTCAGACTCAGTTATCTCCATCAGTAATAAGCAGAAACAAACTTGCTTTATTTAGTGTATTTAGTTGTTATAAGGCATGAGAAATTTCATGAGGTCATTTATTCCCTTCTCCCATCTATAGTCAAGATTTCACTTAAATGTTCTAAATATTTCCCCAAATTTAAAAAAAAATCTCATAAAATATTCCAGTATTTTACATGTTCTGTCATAAAGTTTGATTCTCCCAAAAGTAAAAAAAAAATTACTTTATCATTTAAAAGGGAATTACAGAATTATAAAGAAACCAGACTTGAGCTAGTATGCCTATGTTCAAAACCTATCCTGCCATTTATTTGCTGTGCATCTTTAGGCAAGTCTCTTAAGCTATCTGTGCCATACCTTTTTCATCTATTATATTGGAATAATAGCTCTTACCTCATAAATTGTTAGATAAATAACTTAATATTTTTAAGACCCTTAGGACAGTGCCTGGCACATGGTAAGCATTTATAAATGTTTACAATTATTACTATCACTTATGGATACTGTTTCTTGCTCTAGTCAACTCAAGATACTTAGAATCAGCCATTTTCAGTTATGACATGTTTTTCTAGAGGAATAAAGGGATAATTTGTTCAATTACAAGCCCATAACCAAGGCAAAATTAGACAAAAGATTAAGGTCAAAGGTTGAAACTCACTCTATCAAGGAAACATACCAAGGTAAAAAAGGCCGCCAAACAGTGTGTTCTTGTTTCTGTTGAAATAAATGCTACAGATTGCACACACACACACACACACACACACACACACACACACACACGGAAGTTAACATTCTCACAACATTTAGCAAAACATAGGTGTATTTTTCTCAAGTGGTAGGATCAAGAAGATTCTTAATTTTGCTTGTGTTCAGAGAACAACATATAATTTATCCAGAAGAAATTCATCAATACATGAAAAATTTTCATACACAATGTTTACCTCTAGGTGTTAGAATTGTAATTCTTATTTTCTTGTTTACTTTTCTATACTTTAAAGATTTTCTGTAATAAACATCTTATTAATATTATAATCAGAGTGAGGGGGAACCCCCCAGGTGTTAACTTGACTGCAAGGCTCTAGTACTTGCAGGGAACTAAAAGATGTGCTATTCTATGGAGGAAAGAAGCCACAGAGGCAAATACTTCAGTTGCCCTGGCTGTGACCTTTCTTACCTTGCTCTCCATATTCTGTTTTATAACTTCCTGTACCAGTACATCGGCCAGGGTCTTGAAGTCAACTGCAAACTTCTTGTTCTTTTCTCCTCCTTTCTTTTCCTCGATGAGCAGCTGGAAGAGCGCTTCCTGCTGTCTGCATGCCCGGGCGATGTTGGCAGCTTTCTCAGACACTCGGAGCAGCTCCCGCAGGACCTCTGACATTGCTGACCCTCTCTTGTCTGTCAGCAGCAATTGCTGGTCACACTGGCACCCACTTGCCAGGCCTTCAGCTGGAAAAGTACAAGAATGTGAAAGAGAAAGTAGTTCAGAGCATGATGTCAGGGTGCCTCTCGCACTGCTAACAGCCCATCTGGCAGTCCACCTGGTCAGCCAGCCTGGCTGGCTGATCTGAGACTTACTTTTAGAAGAAGCCTGGAAAAAAAAAAAAAAAAAACCAAAAAACAATAATTGCACTTTTTAAAAATCCAAAGAACTGAACTACCAGGGAAAGAAAAATCTTGAAATAAGAATCAACGTTGTATTTACAGTATCCACAGCACAGTGTTAAAGGAAAGCCAGATTTTTGCAATGACTTTAGAATGATCACATAGGCATAGCAGCAGGGGCTTAAGCAGAGCTCTCTCTTCAACCCTGTGGGAAGATCTATGCTATCAGTACCAGGACAACTTTCTTAAGTACTAAGTAGCAAGGTAGCAAGCACTCAATCCTGCAAGGCTCAGAGGCTGCTTTTGTCCTAGCAGCACAAGCCATTTCCAGCCAACATCCCCACACACCACTAAAAAAATAAATTAAAAAAGCCCACTAATTTGGGCTCCTCTACCAAGAAAAGTTAAATAATAATATGAAGTGAAACATGCTATTTGTTGGCACTTAAAAAGTTCTGCCTTCTAAGAGTGTGATATGTCATGCCTTGCCATATCTATTGGGCCTACCTTGCAATTAGGACAGAAACACTTCTCTGTTTTAATAGCAGCTGCCTCTGACTGAAAGCTTGACTAACTCCTATGTCATTATTGTGAGAACTCCTGTAAGGATTATCTGTCCTGTTTTACAGTTAGAGAAAGCGAAGCTTCGGGAGGTTAAGTAACTTCTTCAGGGTTTCATAAGACTAACTGGTAGAGCTCAGAATCGGTCATCCAGATGCTCAGGCTCCTTATTATCATATTGGACAGTTTCCTTCATTAGAAGTTTCCTGAATAGACTTTAGGAGGTCAAGAATTAGTATAAGTAGAAGATGCTCATGCAACAGGGTCAATGATGAATTGTCACAGCTGGTTCATCTTAAGTTTGCTTAAAAAAAAATACATTCTCCTTAAGATTATGGGTCAACCACCCAGAGAAAATATGTCCAACCTCAAGAGTAACAAAAGGAAAATGAAAAGAACGATGAGACACCCTCTTTCACTGTGAACATTCATCCTTGGAGGCAGCATGGGGAACAGCTGCTGACACTCTGCTAGGGAACCAGCAAATACAGGTTTCTGGAGGATAAAGGTGTATCAAGATCCCTACACATGCCACACTGTCTTTTCTTCAGTAATTCAAGTCCTTCCTTAACTTATTTTAAGGAGATCAGCGTTGAGTTAAACTATTTCTGCTTAAGGTGGATTAAAATTATTTGTAGTAGCAAAAACTTGAAAAGGCTCTTAAACATTGGTAAAATGTAAGAAAACTGGTCAGGAAACTCATTTTTTGAAGAACACAATTTGGAAATACATGAATCCTATAATATTAAGTGGAAAAATGACATATATAGTATAACAGTATGCTATTATAACAATTTGTGTTTATACAGAGAGAGTGAGAGAAAGATGTTTTCATGGTAGTTATCACTGAGTAGTGGAATTGTGGGTGGCTTAATTAGGCTTTCCTATAATTTCCAGATATTCTACAGTAAATATATAGTACTTTTATAGTAAAAATGACATTTTAAAATGTCTGAGGGCAATTAAGTACTAACTTACAAGAATTCTTAACTCAAGGCAAGTGTCCAAACAAAATATTTATGTTATAATAAAAAGACTTTCAGGTGGTAGAGCCATAGTTAAAATTTAAACAATAACACCTGCTTACACAAATACCTTTTCTTTCAAGAATTAAATGTTGAAAGATTTGCTTTAGTTTGTCTTGAACCTATACATTACAAAAAACAATTGCAGGGTTGGTGAAGTGGCTCAAGTGGTAGAGTGCCTGCCTAGCAAGTGAGTACTGAGTTCAAACCTCAGTATTATCAAAAATAAATAAAAGTTGCATTAGTAAGGCTTATAGTACTTTGACTTACAAGGCATTTATGGCATATATGACATATACTTGCTACAGATTATAATTTATAAATACACAGAACAGTACATATCCCCACCATAACACATGCACCTCCAGACAACTAATTCAGTAAACACAATTTTGATTCTTAGTAAATGTTCTGCAGTCATTATCAGCAAAGGGAAAAGGATCAGGGAACCAACAGTATCTAAATAGCTTTTTATCTTAAAAGCAGCATGAAGATGTTAAGGAGTCCACTTTTGAAAGCTTCCAAGATAAACAATATCAGTATCGTCTATAAATCAATTAATATTTCTGAAAAGAAACACTGTACCAGCCACACTCTTGAATAACCCCTGATAAGTTTCTGTACGGCTACCGTCAGGAATCTGGAGTTCCTCCTCTTCAGATTTGACCTTTACTTCCTCAGTAATGATTATTCTCCCCACCTGAGCAGGTGCTGCTTGGCGAGCACAGCAACTCAACCAATAGTGAAGACCTTTCAGCTGTGAGCCACAGCCCTGTAATTAGCAGGTGTACAGATTATAGAAATTCGTAACCTGGTAATTGGGTTTTTCAGTACCAAAGTCATCCCAAAGTTCAAGTTTAATTACTCTGCTCTGACTGGAGGGATCGTTGTATTCTGTCAAACTCCAGGTAGAACTGGGCAGTTTCAGTTAAGACTACACTTTCTCCAAACATGCTGACCAACCCACACTTTTCCAGCTATTTCCCTCTCTCTAGCACCCCAGTTCTCTCTAAAAAAATTTTTAAAAAAAGTTTTCCACAGCCTACATATAAGACTTTTTACTGAAATAGCTGGCATATGCCTGTATTCCCAGCTACTTCAAAGGCTGGGGCAGGAGAACCACTTGAGCCCCGGAGTTTAAAGCCAACCTGGACAACAGTGAGCAAGACCGTGTCTCAAAAAAAAAAAAAAAAAATCAAACAAATTCCAATAACTTTCTAATTAATTTGCACAGATGGCCTACTATTTTTGACTAAGCAGACCATTTCCTCTAAGTAAATCAAAGCATCAAACTGGTTTTCTGTATGCTGCTTCCTTATCTTTCTCCATCTATACTCACTCAATAGAATACTTAAGATAATCTATAGGAAGATCGAGACTCCAATACAGAATTTTTTCAACTCTACATGGAAACTATCTTTCAGATGATTTTAAGAGCCAATTTACACATCTGTTATTCATCTTTCACACTTACAGCCCTCATTTCAGAACTAGCTGGCACTTGGTCTTCTCTCTCATATGTACTCTCACATGATTTCAAAAGTAACTAGAACTGAGGGCTTTCCTCCTTCCTTCCCAAGGTCCTCTCCAGTGGGAGCTGTGTGATTTTGAATGGATTCTAAGTATTTAAAGATGATGAATCATATTGTTCGCATTCACCAGGTTTCTCTTCAGTATGAGGTGCTTCATAATTTCAAAGGCAATAGGGATGAAGAAAGCCCTTCCCACATGCTTTACATTCGTAAGGCCAGTCTCCACTGGGCAGTACCCTGTGCCTTCGAATACTGTTGGGATAAGTGAACATTTTTCCACGTTGTTCACCTTCATAGGGTTTCTCTCCAGTGTGAGTTTTTTCACATAACTGAATGGACCTGGAACTCCTGAACGTTTTCCCAGATTGCTTACATTCAGAGGATTGCTCTCCAGTGTGCTCTCTTTCATGCTTTTGAAGGGGACTAAGTCAAGACTTTTTCACATTTTTTACATTCATGGTGTTTCTATCCATTTCCTTTGATTCATAGAATCAAATGTGATCAGATGGAATGTGCTTCTTAAAGAATGAATGACCAGTGGCCACTGCTGTGCACACACCAGGTTGACCAGGTTTTATTCCATGAGTTTTCTTCTTCACAATATGATCTGGAATCTGGCTGAAGCTTCCTCACATTGGCTACTTTCTTTATAATCATAGATTCTATCACATGACTTCTAGGATTTCTCTCTAGTGTTTTGTACTTGTTTTCCACATTCTTATGTTCTCATTTTATTTAGGGGACAGGTTCTTAAAAGCTTCCAGCATCACATCTCTGTTGAGATTCTTCTGGGAAGGATCCAACAAAACTCATTCCTCCAGGGTGAAGTTCACAGCCACATCCTAAAAGGTGAACCCACTACCAATGCACTTGCTACAGAGCTCACAGCCAGTGGCAGTCACAGAACAATAGGGCAGAACCAGTGAGGGTCTCTCAGCAACTGAGATGGGGTACACGAGTATTCACTGATGTCTCTCTTAGCCAGCCTCATGGTATCAGCTGGGGGGCTGAAGAGAAGCTCTACTCATGCCTAATACCTTCTTGTATTAGGTTGTGATTTAAGACTGGTGGCCTAAAGAACAGAAATTTATCTTGTTACCATTCTAGAGGCTGGCAGCCCCTTCTCACTGTGTGCTCACTTGGCCTTTCCTCCATGGGCATGAATTTCTGGTGTCTCTGCTTTTTATAAGGACCCCAATCAGGCTGGAAAAGGACCCACCATATGACCTCATGTGACCTTTAAGGGTCCTTTCTCCAGATAGTCATTTCTTGGAATCCTTGGGAGATTGGTTCCAGGATCCTCAAAATATGTGAATGCTCTCACATAAAATGGTGTAGTATTTGCATGTAATTTATGCACATCCTCCTGTAGATTTTAAATCATCTCTGTATTACTTATAATTCCTAACTCAGTATATATGTTATATAAATTGTTGTTATAAAATATTGCTTGGGAAATGGTGACAGTAAAAAAGTTGTCCAATATAGGGACAATATTTTTTCAAGAATTTTCCATCCACAGTTGCTTAGTTCAACCAACTGTAGGACTTGTGAATATAGGCAGCTGACTGTACAGTCATATTCTGAAATACTGGGGGCTTCAATGTCTGAATGTCAGAGAAACACATCCAGCCCCTAACATCTCTCCTGCAAGAGAGACCTTGGTGATCTCAGAAATGCAAACACAATCCATCCCTTTGTCTTTTGTTTTCTGGCCACCCAGTAA